CCGCTCCCGCCACCCCGCCCCGCCCCCAGCAGGGGAGGCTGCGCCGGCCACGCCCCCCGGGCGGGTGGAGGTGGAACGCGGCCGCGGCGCCATCGCTACCGAGGCAAAGGCGGAAGGGAGAGGACACTTCCGCCTCGCTGCGTGTCATGGTGTTGCTCCGCGGCGGGTAACAGACACGTGGCCGCCCTGAGCTTGCTGCTGTCGCCGCGCGCCTCGGAGCAGCTGCCTCCACCCCTAAGCCTCCCTCCTCGGGGCCAGCCAGGAGCAGCCCGCTCCCCTCCTCGCCGGGTGCGTGGGAGGGAATTCGGAGGGGCCCGCCCAGTCCTCCTTTGCAGAGCCGGACACGATCGATGCTCTCGGTCGGCCGCGGTTTTCATTGCGACGATGGCATCGGCGCTCTGCTCACGCTGCCTACGCAACGCCGCCATTTGGCGCTCCAGGCTTGGGGGAGTCTTCAGTGCGTAGGCGCGCTGTGGGAGGGCGAAAGTGAGGAGCGCCGGCGGGTGAGCTGAAGCGGAACGGAAGTGGCTCCGCTTCCTGCAGTAAGTGAGGGCGGAAGTAGATGCTGCCGCTGGTGTGCTGCTGCGCGCAGTTGAGGCGGTGGCTTGGAGCGCGAGGCTGAGGCTGCGGCTGAAGCGTTGGGGTCTGACCGTTGTGCCCCCCGCGCGGGTGAGGCGACCCGGGCCCCAGGGCGGGTGGGAGGAGACGTCCCGGCTCGGTGGCAGCCCCCGCGGCCTGCTGTGCCCCAGGCTCCGCGCAGCGCAACCGCCCCCCGCCCCCCCGGTGGGTCTCAGCTGCCTTATCTACGCCTGCTCTCAGCTGTACCCGGGGGCCAGGCCGGGCTGCTCGCTGGGAGGACTGCGGGATATGCCAAAGGGGCCACGGGCTTAGGACAACCAAGGAAACCTGTGCGCCTCCCTTAAAAAGCAGGGATCCTAGTTTCCTCTGTTTTGGGTTGTTTTTTTTAATCTAGAATTCTGTGATTAAAAGACAGACAAATCCGAAATTCACATTTTTCGTGATTAAAACAAAGCACCACTATATATTGTTTCAGGTATCCAGGTGGTAGCCGTATTGGTCTAGAGGAAAAGCAATCTGGATTCGCAGTAGTGATGATATCTTTTATTAGACCAACAAGATTTTTTGCAAAAAAAATTCTCTAATTGCAAGCTTTTGGGTGCAAACAACCTTCATCCAGCATTGGAGAAAAGATTGTAAACATTCTGGGTAAAAATGAAAGTTCATATTCCATAGGGTTTCACAGAGGAGTTGACAGATGGAAAACCATACATTGTTTGGATTGAGATTAGTGTTTTGTTTTAATTACCAAAATAGTGGATTTGGGGGTTTGTTTGGAATTTTTTTAAATCGGAGCATTTATTTATTTATTTATTGTTTTAATCGAAGAGAACCAGGATCCCTGTTAAGGCAGGCGATGGGGGACACCTGGAGGAAGAACAAATAAAGAGAAAAGGGTGAAAGGAGCAGGGGCGGCAGGTGAATAGAAAGGGAGCCAGAAGGGGATACAGAGCAGAGCACGCTGCCTGCTGCTCCCCAAATGAGTGGCAGCCTGTGGACATCTAGTGAAGCTGTGCCTGGAGACATGAGCGGAAGACACTACAATGCTCACCTGGGTTCTCCCCCCACACCCAGCCCAAGTCTCCTTCCTGGTCAGGTAGATAGTGAACTTGGCTACAGCCTGGAGGAGGTTGACTAGGAAGTCCTGGGACTTGGTTGAGGCCATGCATGGGGAGTGCATGAAAGAAAAGGTTGTGGGATGAAGCAGAGTGCAGCCACGGCCTCCGCAGGAGGTTCTGGAGGAGGCAGAAGAGGGGTTGCATGTGCCAGTGTCAACCTCTGTGCAGAAGATGGGAGGAAGCAGCTGGCTGGGGGCTGCTGTTGGGAGCCTTGCCCCATGACAGGAGCTGGTCAGCTTTGGGGCTGTGTATGCTACATCCTTGGCAGAGCTGTAAGTGGTGCTGGCAGGATATCTAGCATGGTTGGCCCCCAAGCAGCTGCTTCCATTCTCATAATCAGCTCTGTGGAGGACAGTGAGGAAGCTAGTGCTGGTTGGAGTGTTACATACTTAAGCTGTGCTTAGTTGAGTTCAGACAAGCATGTGCTCCTTGCACTACCTGCTTAAACAGAGTATGGTTTGACGGCCTATTTTGGCAGTGATTGCTATTTGACCACCTGGGTTGCCAAGCGATGCCACGTTAAGAATGGGGCTCAGAACAGCAGAGCAAGTTCTGTATTTACCCAATTGGGACAAAAATGCAGTGAGGCATTTGTTATCAATAGTAACATTTTCCTTTTCTCTCTGCTGCAGGGAAAATATTCATGGTCTAGAATGGTGGGCAATCAGTTCTTCTCTCTGCTTCCTCAGGGATGTGTGGGCAGCAACTCGTGGCTCTGCCACAGGTCCTGGCCCCATTCTGTTGCTGCCCCATGCTCCTGGCCCCACCCACACCCCTGCCCTGCTCCCAGATACCGCACGCAACCTTCTTGCAGCCCTAGCCCATCCGCCTAGCTGAGCATGGGGCAGAGCCACTTACGGAGTTTTAGTGAGGTTGCTGATCTGGCCCATGACAGCTCACCAAAACTCCCTAAGTGGTCCTTGGACCCAGATAATTGCCCACCCCTGTCCTAGAGCTAGTGAGATAACCCTGGTTATCTTACTGTCACAATAGGTCTTGTGGGAAAAGTCTCTCACATATTCAATCCATAAAGAGCCTCCTTAAACTAATGTAAGCCTTTTGAGGTACCTTCAGAAGTTGGGTGGGATGGGTTCAGACATCCCTTCTGCTAAAATTTCAGTGAAAAAGGTAGACTTTCAGGTTCAAAAGGTAGGTTCATGTAGAAGGCACCATAGATAGCAATTCAGTGTAGCAATCCAGAAAGGTGTCCATAAGTGTGATACAAGTTGTATTGGATAAACGATTGTTTTACCAGATACAGGTGACAAAAGGCTTTGCTAGGATATGTAAGCACTCATCAAATATGAGACTGCCTTAACTGAAGTTGAACATATTCTGAGCATTCACCCCTCTGAAGGGAAAGATTTTGTTAAGCTGAATGGAAGATTACTTGATTCTGAGTCTATAAATGGAAGGTAGATAACTTTGAAGCCTACCACAGAAGCTGAGTCCCTTGAGCTAATAGTAGGAGCTTCTTCCTTTGGACCTTTCATGTGCAAATCTGCCATTTCTTCAGTGCGAGTTAACCATATGTAAGGCTGTCAAATAGTGCCCTACAGTGGTAAGTTTAGAGATTCAGGAAAGCTTTAGAACATGTTTGTTACACTACTGCTAATGCAGGTGTCTGGTTGAAGCAAATGGTAGCTGACAATCTATCCTGGCATCGCTGTGACAGAACCCTAGAGCTGCTGCGATTTACAAAACACTCCCTGTTATATGATAGTAGCTCAGTCTATTGTGGTAACATGAATGTGGAGGAAATAATAGGTCCATTGATTAAGTGCAGTAAAATAAATTCAAGAGATGGAGATATGCCTTTGAGTCACTCGCTTGTGATCACCGAGTGCTCTGGCAGTTCTGCATGCGGCCCAACGGAGGCAAATTCAAAGGAGGCATGAGCGCTCTTTGTGTCTCTTTACCAGCCAGAGCATTTGCTGTCAGGGGGGGCACCAGCGTTCTCAGAGGGGGCATGTCCCACCCCCCTTAGCCTCCCCTACATGTTGCCTATGTCCTGTAAATTGCAGGGCATGAATCCACAACCCATGTGCTTCCAGAGTACTCCCAGTTTCTAGAGATTCCTTGATGTGCAAAGAATGCAGGCTTGGGGTCCAAAACTGCAGGGAAACAGATTTAAAATATCTGAGTACAAGAGAAATGAGGCCCCAAGCTCCCAACAGGCAAACGGAGGCCAAAATATCTTTCACATATATCTAATTTTAATATAAATGAGTGCAATGTCATTTTAAACTAAGCCTTGTGACTTCCACCAATTCTAAAAGTGTTTACCTGTCAGCCCTGGAGGATGAAGTCTTTTGTTTGTCTGTCAAACAGTCATCCCATAACTGACCATACACATTTTCTTCATCTATCGCATATAGCTATTGTGCCTGCAAAAGAGGGGGATTTGCTTATGGTCCCTTCAGTCCATAGCTGTTCTATTGCTGCAAGCCCTGATTTTGATTGTATTAATTTTTTATGTGGACATCTTTTCCCCCAGGCTAGTGGGCTAAGACCTCCAAACAGTAATTTGGCAATAACTTTTAGTTGCTGTTTGACTTGAGAGAAATATGCACTGTTAACCTCTTGGGAAGAAACTCTACCCCACCTATTTCCAAGCTCTTGAACCACATAGTCCAGTGTAGGTGTAATGTAATGTCTGTGGTTGGTCTGAGATCTCCAGTTTTTCCTTTTAAAAAAACAAAAAAACCTATATAGCTTTTGCAAAGTTGGCCATCATTAAAAGTTAGTATGTAATATAGCCAGTCTAGGATAATTCGAGGGAAAAAGAAAGCATGTCAGCTGTATCACAGTTACATCAGTGTAATGTTTTTTTCTTTCAGTCTCTAGGTCTGTATTTAATAGCATTGAAGACAACAATTGAAAAAAAATGACCCACTGGTTTCATCGCAACCCCTTAAAAGCTACAGCTCCTGTTTCCTTTAATTTCTATGGTGTAGCCACTACTCCAGCTGCATCAAAGATTTGCAAGTGAGTATATTCTAGTCTAATGCTAACTAGTCTTTTCAGAGTTCAGGATATGTCCTGAGAAGTAATGGGTACCTTTATTTAAATTTTGAAGAGATTACAGATCTATAGTTTGGTGAAAGTAAAATACTGATAGCACTGTCAGTATCTCCTTCTACAGAGCAGTTTGCCTAGTCTTACAAGACTGATACTGCATACTGTGACGTTGCAATTAGATGGGCTGAAGGACCATTGCTTTTTGATGAGCCACAAGTGTTCTACTGCAAACTTGTGGCTCGGGAAAGTATTTAAATAAATTTTCCAAACATGATGATAATCTCATCTCAGCTATACAGTCAAGACTGTTATAGAATTTTGTCCTACCCTTGCTGGGTGTCCCTGTACAGGTTTATGAGCCTGTGTCTTTGCTCACTGTAATGTGGCTCAGCTTTGCGTGTGTTACAAGGCTTAAAGCATTGTTTTTGAAGTGATTTGAAATTCTTTCTTACACAAATGCCAGAAGCTTGGGGAATAAGCAGGAGGAACTCGTCCTCCTGCTTAACACAAAAAATTACGACGTCATAGGGATAGTGGAGACCTGGTGGGACTCCACCCATGACTGGACCACGGGTATAGATGGCTATACCCTGTACAGGAGGGATAGAGTAGATAAAAGGGGTGGAGGTGTAGCTCTCTATGTTAAGGAAAGCTACGCATCCCTGCAAGCTGATGTTGGTGACCAGGGTAGATGACTGGAGACCCTCTGGGTCAAAATCCATGGGGAACACGGCACAGGGGACACAATGGTGGGAGTCTACTACAGACCTCCCACCCAAAGTCTAGAGCTTGACCAGGAGTTTGCCCAGGAACAGGCTGAGGCCGCATGCTCCAGGACCATGGTTGTCATGGGTGACTTCAGTTACCCGGACATCTCATGGGAGGATCACTCAGCAAAATCCAAGCAGTCGCAAAGCTTCCTCTCGTGCGTGGATGACCTCTACCTGACTCGAGAGCTGAAGCACTGCTCAACTTGGTACTGGCTACTGGGGATGATCTAATCGGTGACCCATTGATCGATGGGAAGCTGGGTGACAGCAACCACGAGCTGATCATCTTCACCATCCGCCGTAAAGCTGGCAAGTCAGTCAGCAACA